AAGGAAGGAAAGAAAGAAAGAAAGAAAGAAAGAAAGAAAAGACAGGTAAAGAGAACAAACAAAATAAGCGAGATTGAACACTTGTTACATAATATCCTATTTGACCTATAGGTTTTATCTCACTTTTTTTTTCCAGTACCAGGAGTCACACTCAGGACCTTGTACTTGCTAAATCCCCAGCCCCATGAGCTATTGTCTTTGAATGAGGCAAATTGGCCCTATTAACTCCAGTTGGAGGTTATTTTCTTCCAATAATTAAGATTCTGAAACTCCATTCCCTGTGTGACACTCAAAAAGATTTTTCTTAATAAAGTAACACATGCCTTTCTGATTTTATTAAAAGACTTACTGAGTTTACCAACTGCTTTGGCTTTTCAGACATCATACCTGAAGGCTGGAGTGCCCTCATTATTCCCATTTCTGCCATGAAAGTGAGAGGACCCGTATGAACAGACTGACCACGGGGAATAAGGGTGGGAAGTTCCACAGGTTCCTATAGATAGAAAACGGTCCGGGCAGAGCCCCTGGCTTCAGTCTGATTGGGGACCTCCCTTGGCTTTTTCTGACCCCTGCCAGTCCTTCCCTTCTAAGTACAAACCCCAGTCCTTGAGGACTACACCCCACTGATTTAAATAACACCTCTCTCATGAGGGAATACAGTAAAACTTCCTCTTTAACTGGTTATTTCTTTGGCGTTTCAGAGCATTCATTAAGGTGCTTTCCAAGGGAATTTATAGTAAAGATCACATTCTGCCTGACTCCAAAATATCACCTTTAATAAGAACTCTCTTGACTTCTCTGAAGCCTCAATACTTTAGAAGCCAAGAAGATAACAAGTTCAAATTGAACACTTTCTGGTTGAGGGCACTGTGGTGATGGGAGTGGTCACATGATTACTATCTGCTGGCTGGCACTCCAGGCTCCCCTTAATAGTCACTGCTATAAACCTTCCCTCTTCCTGTCCTCTCCCTTCTAAGAATTTACCTGCCTTTTTCCAGCTACCTCTATCATAGCTCTCCTACCATAACATCAATTTCCTTCACATTGACCACTTCCCCTTGGAGATTCTCAAAAGAAGAGAGAAAATTTTATTCGTCCCCTCTCAGCTCACTACAGAGTATCTCTCCGCTCAAAAACTCTCTGGGGCATTAACTCATACAGGACCAGAGGTTCACTAAATCACCTTCCCTGTGATTTTTGGTTTTCCTCATCTACCAAATAAAGATTGCACTGATGTGTTTTTCAAGATAATTATGTAGTTATACATGATTGCCAAGTACTTACAGACCATAAAAAAGCTTTATAAATCCCAACCATGATTATAACCCTTTGAAAGAATGGGATATATGGTTCACAAGTGGAGAAAGATGAGACATAACAGGTCATTCTTCTTGCTCGGTCCCTGTTCCTATCTCCACCCACCACCAGACAGGAACTGAAAGCCAAAAACAAATCTGTATTTATTTATTTATTTATTTATTTATTTATTGGTACTGGAGATGGAACTCGGGACCTTGTGCTTCCGAGGCAGCAAAAACATAAATCGAGAGGAAGGGTTATCAAAGGTCTGTATAGAATTTTTAGGAGTTATACCACCACACTGTCATCTTGTAGGATGGCACTTAGGTTTGATAAGAGGATGAACACACACACACACACACACACACACACACACACACGCACAGGACTCACATAAATGATACTTGGTTCACTGTCGAAATGGAGACTCAGAAAAACAAATCCATTGGTCATTTACATTTAAAGTTGTTTTGCCATTCAAAAGCGGACACTTAGCGAGTTGGAGAGGGACTGTGAAGGTTAAAATACTGTCAAATCCTGACTTGTGCCTCTTCTGTGGCTGACCCACTAGGGAAAAAGAGGCAGGACCTGTCTTGTTACCCTCGTTTCTTCTTTCCCTAGATGTATCCAACAAACTCTCCAGAAAAGGTGTGTCTTGTGAATAAATGGAGCTTCAGTTTCCTCCCAGCAACACTGTCAAGAAAAGAGAAGTTAGAAACACCTTGTTCGGCTATTTTACTGTGGATCCTTAATAAGATCACTGAAACCAGAGGTGACTCCACTGACCCAGCTTTCACATGGCGACTGCCGTCCACGTGCATTGTGGAATAAACCAGGGTCAATGCTCAGATTGTTCCACACTCCTCGACACTGCCTGGCCTCAGAAGTCAGCAGGCCGCACTGAAAACACTGTGATTTACATGGTGCTGGGGGCAGAGGATTTGTGGGTGGGCTGCCGGGACTACGTGGGGATAGCACTTCACACCACAGGCGTCTTGGCAGGCGGTGGAGAATGTGCACGGCCATGGACCTGTGGTTTAGAATTTTTGCCAAATGGCTCCTGTTTGTGAACATGGGCTCAGCTCGGCTTTTTCCCACTTCTCATCCATACCTTTGTCAGTTGCCTCAGAGTGTTTAATGCTTTGGCAAAAGGAGCCTGTGAGCTGGCCCCCATTGCCTCCTTTCTTGACGTCAGTGAGGGAGCTGTTCCTTGTGGCTGTCTTATGGGAAATAATTCAGCATTTGTGCTTCAATTAAAATTCATCGCTATATATTATTAAGTGGTACTGACTCATTCCATGGCTTCTCTTCAGCTGACTCAGTGCCAAAAATGTTACATACTCGTCAGCGATGAAGAGGGCATTAAAACCATGATTTCCTTGTCAACTGATGGTAAGGGCTGTGAAAGAAACAAACATCACAGGGCCAGACTATCCTTGGTCCTGTGCCAGTCTTTTCTGGAGAAGAAATTTAAGTTCAAGATCCTTTCTGCCTTTGAGGGAGAGAAAACAGAAACCCGAATCCCCTCCCTTTATAGGAGTTTTGTGAAAGGAGTGCTGGGCACAAGGTATTCGATGTGAGGCTGAAGCAAACGGAACTACACAGCGTACATTCAGTGTCTCCAGGAGAGATGTGGAAGTGTCCCATCGCATGCCCCTCAGCAGGGGACATGGGAGAACAAGTTTTCCTGATTTTATAACATCGAACCTCTTCTTAACATCCACTCATTATTTTATATTTTTCCTGGGAGGATGAGCAAGGCAGCGACAGTCCTGGAGCTTTGTTCTCCTGTCTGGCTCAGAAAGCTTCTGGCTCACAGTGAGGCCACACGGGGGGACCACGTGATCACTCCCCTGCCCTCCTTTCCTTTCCTTCCCCTGCAAAACAAAGCCTTGTATTCCAAGCCCCAGCACCTCCTGCCATGGGTGAACGTGGCCTGTGTCCGAAGCATTCACTGCAATAAAACATGAAAGCAAAACTCTTGTGAACGGCAGGCTTCTTCCACTTGGGAGGGTGTGCATCACAGGAATGGTGATTTCCCCTCTCCGAGGGACAGATGGAGACCAAACACTGGGGCTCTCTTAACCCAGGCTGCTCTGACCGCATGCACCACCGGTGTGGGAAATGGAAATGGCTCTGCTTCTGCACAGATCCAGACCTGCAGAGGGAGGGGTTAGTGAGCAAGTCCCGTCTCTGGCCTTAGAGATGAGGCGACCCTATCCTGCAGGTGGATGGAGCTCTGTACCTGATTCTGACCTCAGGAACCCTCGGCCATTCTTGCATTACCAGATTCATCAGCTCTAATTTTGCAAACACAGGATCATTCCTGAGCCTCAGTTTCCACCCAAAGGGAAAGACAGAATTGAACTGGTGTTGCTGAGGTTTCCCCAGCTCTAAAAGCTACAACTCTAATGCATTTTTCCATTCGTCCACCAAAGCAACTCTACAGCATACTGACATTTCTGAGTCTGACTTTAAAGTCATTCAATGCCACTCCCTGAATATTTGAATGAAATTATGTATGGCTTGATGTGAAGCAGATTAAAAGCAAATGCTTTGGGACAGACATGATGTTCCAGGTATAAAGCAACATGGTGAACCTGCCAAACGGGAATAACCACCCTGTGTTGTCAGCGAATGGCACAAGATGTGGATCTCGCACAAGGAGGCCTATTGAGGCCTTCACCTACTTTCCGTGGGCCTGAGCATCAGACTGGGTGCTGAAGTCCCCGCCTCTCCCAGAGCACCCACTGGACCCAGGAAGCAGAAACCTGAGGAGCCAATGACTATTTTCTTTGTTGATGTCTTGTTGCCAGAAAACAGAAATTAGATCCTTGTCTAGATTCTCCTATCAGCAAATCTGAGCGCCAGGAAGCTCTTCACAGTGGAAAAGCAAACAAACAACAATCTACTCATTCAAAGCACTGGACCTCTGAGCCCTAAAATGGGTTTAAAGTTTTATAATCACATACATTGTAGTGAAACCATTGACACTTCTCAAAATGCTAGCAGAAATAAACTTCTTCATATCTGTGAATATTTCTAAAATGAGTTTTGTTTTGTATTTGAATGAGAGAGAGGGGTTTCTAGAAATAATTATAACCAATGATGTCATCCTCAGAAACAGGAAACTGAGGTCCAGAAAAGGAAAGGGGGTAGTTCCAGGTCACACAGTGGGGCAAACTTGATAGGGCTGGGATTATAATCTAATGCTCTTTCCATAACCCTGGGATGGAAATACAACTAGAAGGTTTGGTAAGGAAAACAGATGGCACATAAATCACCACAACCCGTTTTTTGTATTGTTTTGTTTTGTTTTGGAGAATGAATGTTCTTACCAGGGGCCAACATGGTAAATGGCAGAAAGTAAATCTTACCTCTACTGGCGCCACCCACCAAGGTAGGTGATGTCCCAGTAGTTAAGCATGTCACAGGCTCCCTGCGGGTAAAAGAACCGCAAATCCAGCGGGCAGTGTCTCAGCAGTGTCCTTAGCCCTGGGGTCAAGAACCAGACATTCTCGGGATTCACAGCTCTGTTTGCCAACTGCCTCTATTCCTTCCTAGCAGGATCCCACCTTCCTTGGACCCTGTGTCTGTGAGCAAAGTAATAGCAGCACAGCGCTGCTCCCAGGTTGTGACTGAAGCAAACCACTACCTGAAGATAAAACACATCTTGGGAGAAGACAAGCGAAAACCAGATATTAAAAGAAGGGTCCCTTTATTAAACAACTCAGAGACAAGCTGGGTCTGGGAGGCCCATAAGAAGGGCCACCAAGTACTGGTGATGAAGACTGGGATCGATCAGGATGCGTTTTCTCACTTAGATACAACACAGTCCTCTTCACCAGTGGCTCCCCAAGCCACCCAGTACCGAAGGTTTCCTTTCAAAGTCAGCAAGGTAAGGCCATTCCACTCCAGCTGCGATGGAACATTTTACAGACACGATGCCCAGGGCAGTTCCGCCAGGGCACTGGCAGGAGGAAGGATGGAAGCTTCCAGTGTTGTTTCCTAACTGGTCAAAAGGCCAGAGCCCGGCTCCACCAGGGCCCGGGAAAGAACAGGGGCTGCCTTCTCACAGTCCTCATCCGTGGTTTCTTCCTAGAGTCGTGAGGGCTGTGGCAGATGTAGCTGAAAGGAACCAAGCCGGCAAGGCCACAGAGAGCGGGAAACACAGTCTCTTCAGGACTGGGGCACATGGGAGAGCAGAGCTTTCCCCAGCCACCGGCTTATTCTCTCTGAGCTTCTGGATGTGCAGCGAAGTGTGTGCGTGTGTGCACGTGTATTTCTGTTCATGCGTGTGTTGCGTTTTTATGTGGTAAGTCTGTGGGTGTGGTGTGTATTTCTGTATGGCGTACATGGTGGGATTTTGCGTATTTGTGTGCTGGGTGTTTGTGTGGTGTGCGTGTGTGTGGTGTCATATTTGTATATGGCAGATGTTTTTGCCTTTGTGTAGTGTGTTAGTGTGTTGTGTGTTGCTTTTGTGTTGTGTCTGATATGTGTTTATATATGTATTGTTTTGTATGTATGGTGTGTGTTTGTGTGTTTGTGTGTTGTGTCACCTGTATGGTATGTCTTTGCCTGTTTTTATGGTGCATTGTTGTGGTGTGTGTCACACTGTGTGGGGGATGTGTCTGTATGTTTGTGTTGTGCTGTACGCATGCTGTGTGTAGGTGTGTGGATGGTGTGTATCTGTGCGGTGGGCTGTGTGTGTGCGGTATGTGTGCAGTTTGCCTAGGCTTTGAGAGGGCAACTGAAGAAAACCAAGAAAGGCAGAGTTAAGGGAGCAAAGCCTGGCTCGGGATGGAAGGGAGACGGGGCTCCTCGAATCCACCTGCTCATTTATACCACTGCTCTGTACAAAAATAAAAAGGTTCTTCTAAGATTAACAATTTAAATAAATATTCCATCGCACGCTCTTTCTCACTGTTAAAGCTCATCCTTGGGGTTGACTGTCAGTTCACGTTTCCCTTGCTGCTCTTGATCCAGAATCGCAATTACTTCATCGGCTTTTATTCGCTCCTGCAAAAAAGACCAAAGCAACAGGTTTCTGTCACGAACAAAACACTGGGTCCCGGTGGCAGATGCTCCCTGACTGCTCTCAGGTTCCTCCTGCGCACCAACTGCGGCCGAATCCAGCTGAGGATCCCCACCTCCAGAGCGGGTCCTTGTCCTGACACCCTGGTGTCCTCAGCAGTGCTCAGACTGAGCTCCCCATGGGTTTCTTCCGCGGTTTTCATGTTCCTGTCCCCTCCCCAGACTACCACTTCCCTTCGAAGCCTGGCCCTCGTGCCTTCCTTCTGCTAAGCCATCCGGTCCTGACTGTCCCTTCTCCACTTTCTGTCCCTCTGTCTTCGAGACACATTACTATTGCATTATTTTAGGGGAGGGGTTCTTCACCTCAGCACGACTGACATTTTAGACCAGATCACTTCTTGTGTGGGCCCCTGTATGCTCAGCCATACCCCTGGCCCTTATTTACCACAGGGAGCTAATAACGTCTCCCAGAGTTGCGACAACCAAAATGTCTCCAGCCATTGCCAAATGTCCCCTAGAGGGCAAATGCCTCTTCTCGAAAAGCACTGGCTTGGCTTAGGGCCTCATCAGCTTTAACTCAGCTGCCTCAGAAGTTTCCACACTGGTCTCCCTGTTTCACAACTCAAAGACTTCTCATGGATCCTGCTCACTGAAATCTGAGCATATTTCCCTCCTGGTCGCAACACTGTAATGAGTTCCAATTGCTAGAAGCTCCCAGTTCAGTTTTCTCAGTGTGATTATACGAAATTAACAGATTCAGATGTCTCTGTTCTCTTTACCCGTATTTGTCTCCTTACTTCTCCTCATCTTCTATTCCCGCTTCCTAACTTCCTAGCTAACCCCAAAGTCTGAGAATACAGCACCCTCCAGAGAATTCCCCAGTCCTTGTCTGGATGCTCCCTTTGCCTCCTGTCTTTTCTGTCCTCCCATGTCACTCATCACAGACCCGGCTGGTCTACCTCCAAAATGCACCTCAGACTTTCCACTTCTTTCACCATCTTTAGGATAACTAAGACCAAGTGCACACATTAGCTAAACTGATTTTGTGGATCCAGTAATTTCTCAGGACTGGGGACTTACTAGAAGGGGTGGGGCACAGTGTCTTCCCACCAGGTAGGATATTTCTTACTCACGTTTCTTACTTGACCTACAATATGTGGTACTTGTCCTTTCTTTATTCTCTTTTTATACCACTCCCTTGCTTGTAAGAACATATGGCAACCAACTTTCCTCCCTCGCTCCCTCCCTGTCTTCTTCTCTCCTTTTCCACCCCCACTTTCTCCCCCTTCCTTCTTTTCTTTCTTCTTTCCTTCCTTCATTTGGTTCTTCCTTCTTGTCTTTCTTTTTTCTTTTCTCTTTTCTTTTTGTGTGTGCAGAGAACTGAACCCAGGGCCCTACACAACATGCTGTACCACTGAGCTATAACCCTAGACCCTTCTTTCTTTCTTGATTACTTTAAGGATCCTTTTGTCACTGGGCCTTTGCAAATTGTCCTTGCCTGGAATACTCCTCTCTAGGTGTTTATCTTCATGTCATTCAGGTTGTGCCTCATATATCAAGTATTTGGAGATACTTTGCAGTTTACTCATCACTCTCAAATCTGCTACCCTGTTTCAATTTCTACATATAATTCAGCACAATCAGAAAATATTTCAGTTATTTATATTTTTGCTTGTTTTCTGTTTCTTTCCACTACAATGTAATCTCCAGTGGAGCAGGGAATCTTATCTCCTTGGTTCCCGCCATATTTCTAGTGCACAGAGAACCTACTGACCTTTGGCAAGGACTCATTTATATTCAGTGAATAAATACATATATGGATAAAGGCCTTCCCTATCTAAAGCTCTTCTCCCTAAAGTACTCTTATTCCTCCTCCTCCTCCTTCTTATTAAAAGAAAAAAAGTTATTAGTGTATTGTTTGCAAAAAGCACATTTCATTTTCATACACATAAACAGCCTGGAAGTGAAAGGATGGAAAATAATACTCCAAGCAGCTGGAGCAGGAAAGCCCACAGGAGTCACAAAGGAGTGGTTCTGTGGTGTGCTTGAAATTTAAGGTGAAAGTTTAAATTTAAAAAAATGGTAAAAGACACATTGCCATTAACACCTCTCAAAATACTGCCCCGTGCTTTGAATACACTTATTCATTCTTCTTGTTGCTTTCTGAAGCAGTTGTGTAAGTCATTTTCCATGAGTGTCTTTACCAGATGTGATTAAAAAAAATATGGTGACTGCTGCTGCTAAATGCCATCAATGGAAGAGTAGACTCCTAAAAACATGATGCTGTGTCCTCATCCACATTCATTGGGCCTGGCACTGTTCAACTTCTGGGTCTTCACCAAAGACAACACGTCCTTGAAATGTAAATGTTTTGAATTGATTCAGGATGTGAAGACAGTCACCAAAGCACTACTGAAGACACTCATGAAAGAGGATCACTAGAACTACTTCAGAAAGTGGCAGGAATAATGGGATAAATGTGTTTAAAGTGAGCAGATATATTTTCAGGGGGATTAAAGGCAATGTTTCTTTTAGTATAATAAATTCAAAAAATTTAAATATCCACCATATTTTTGATGATACCCATTCTATTTGACAAAGTTGACTTCAATCTAAAATTTTTCAGAAGAGACAAAGATTGGGTCACTACATTTGTTAAAGGAAATAATGGATTGAGGAAAGAAAATAATTGTAAATATTCACGCAACAAATGTTGCCTTATGCAATTTCATAAAATAAATACTACTTGCTTTAAAAGGACAGATAGTGGATGTTATAGCTTGTGTTTAGATGACTCCCCCCCGCCCCACCAAACCTCACAGGGTCTTAGGTAGGGCTTTTTTAGAGGTGGCTGGATCTAGAATGTGTGATTGATTCATGGTGCAGTGCTAGGCGTGAGGGCACTGGGATTAAGGATGTTAGTGCTATTTGCCCCAAGCGGGGTAGCCTGGATACAATATAAGGGACAGAAAGAGGCTTGCTGTTAGTTGCAGTTTGTTGCTGTTGCTTGCTGTGTTCTGCCTGCCATGGACAGTTTCTCCCTTGTCATGCCCCTCTGCCACGACAACCTGCCTTGGAGCCAGCCAACTATAGACTGAAACGTCTATGACCTGTGAGCCAAATAAACATTTCTTCCCTTAACTTTTGGGTGTTGGGTATTTTGTCTCAGCAATGAGAAAAGTAAAACAGGGGGCGACTTTAATTCCCCACGCTCACAAATAGATATGTCAACCAAGCAAAAATTCAAAAAAGAAATATCAGAGTTAAATTACGCTATAGATTATATGAATTGAACAAGTATCTACAAAGTGTTTCATCCAACAAGAGCAGAATATACCATTATTTTCAGCAGCCCATTGAGCTTTCTCCAAAATAAACCATATTTTAGGCCATCAAGCAACTCTCAATAAAAAGAAAAGAACTGAAATAATATGATACATCCTAGAGTATCAGATCACAGTGGAATAAAACTAAAAATCAACAGCAAAAGAAACCTTAGAAAATATGCAAACACACGGAGATTGGATAATAAACTCTTGAGTGAACAGTTGGTTCACAGAAAAATCCATGAGAGAAATTTAAAACTTCTAGAAGCAATCATAATGGAAACACAACATATCACAATCTGTGGAACAAGAAGGAATTCCTAGTGGGAAGTCTGTAGCTATGAGTGCCTCCATTAGAAGTCTGAGTAATCCCAAATAAATAAATAGATGATGGATTTCAGTGTCCTAGAAAAAGAAGAGTAGACCAAAGCCAGAAACCAGTAGAAGAAAAGGAATAATAAAGATCACCATGGAAATTAATGAAATTAAGACTAAGAAAAAAAGTACACAGGATCAATGAATCAAAGAGGTGGTTCTTTGAAAAGATAAGCAAGATTGATAAGTCTCCAACGAAAGCAAAATCAGAAGAAAGAAGGCCCACATCAACAAAATTAAAAGTGAGAAAGGTGAAATTACAACCGACATCACTGAAATCCAGGCAATGCCTAGAAATTATTTTGAAAACTTGTAGTATTCTAGCTCAATAAATTGTAGAATCTAGAAGAAATGGATAAGTTCCTAGGTACACACTGCCTACCGAAATTGAATGAAGAAGATACAATAAATTTAAACATATCAATAATATACAAGGAAATTGATGGAGTAATAAAAACTCTAGTGACTAAATTCAGAACCTGATGGGTTTACTGTTGAATTTTACTAAACCTTTAGAGAAGAACTAACACCAATGCTTCTCAAAATTTTCCCTGTCATGAATGCTTCCACATTCATTCTGTGAAGCCAGCCCTGATACTAAAGTCAGAAAAATACTCAACATAAAAGAAAACTATAGGCCAATATCCCTAATGAACATAGATGCAAACATCCTCAATAAATCCTTGCAAACACAATTCAGCAACATATTAAAATGATCATTCACTGTGACCAAACTTGTTTCCATCCCAGAAGTCCAAGGATGGATGGTTCAGCATACATAAATCAATAAATTCAATACACTACAGAAATAGAGTAAAGGATAAAAATCACATAATTATCTCAACAGACACAGAAAAAGCCTTTGGAAAAATCCAACATCCTTTCATGATAAAGTCCCTGATGAAAATAGGATTGGAAGGATTTTATCTCAAACTGATAAAAGCCACATTTGACAAACAGCTAACATCATACTGAATGGAGAAAAACACAGTATTTCCTCTAAAATGTGAATGAGAAAAGAGTGTTCACACTCACTATTTGAAAATAATATGACTCTTTATATAGAAGACCCCAAAAAACTCTACTAGAAAACTTTTAGATCTGATAAACAAACTCAGTACCCTGGCAGGATACAAAATCAACAACAACAAAAAGTCAGTGCAAATAATATGACTTTATATAGAAGACCCTAAAAAACTCTACTAGAAAACTTTTAGATCTGATAAACAAACTCAGCACACTGGCAGGATGCAAAATCAACAACAACAACAACAAGTGCCGCTGTATACCAATAATAAGCTCACTGAAAAAGAGATCAGAAAAACAATTCCATTCACAATAGCTTCAGAAAATTAAACAATTAGGAATCAATCTAACTGAAGAGGTGAAAGACCTTTACAATGAAAATGACAGAACACTAAAGAAGGAAATTGAAGATGACCTTAGAAAATGGAAAAACCTCCCTTATTTGTGGATTGGCAGTGCTAATACTGTTAAAATGGCCATCTTAGCAGAAGTGGTCTGCAGATTCGGGCAATTCCTATTCTGCAAAAACATTCTGCACAGAATCAAAAAAACAGCCTAAAATCCATATGAAATAAAAAAAAAAACAGTCAAAGCCATCTTGAACAAAAAAAGCAGTGCTGCAGGCATGACAATTCCAGAGCCAAATTATTCTCTAAAGCCATAGTAACAAAAACAATGTGATACCGACACACACACAAAAAGGTAAACCAATGAATAGAACAGAAGGTATCAAATCAGTGCCGTGTGTCTATAGGTACCTGACTTTTGAGAAAGGGCAGAAAAAAACACTGGAGGGGAGATGGCCACTTAAATCAATGGCACTGGGAGAGCTCAGTATCTACACCCAGAAAATTAAAAAGAGATCCCTCTCACCCTGTAGAGAAATCACAAAAAATGGATCAAACACCTAGATAGAAAACCAGAAACTTTGAAACTGCTGGAAGAGAACATAGGGGAAACACTCGAAGCCATAGGGACAGGTAAAGATTTCCTGAATAGGAGTCTAAGACCACAGGAAATTATGTCAAGAATCAACAAAGTAGATTACATCAAATTGAAGAGCTTCTTCACAACAAAGGAAGCAACAAAGTGAAGGTACAACCTACAGAATGGGAACAAATACGTAGAATATATAAAGAACAACAAGAAAATAATTCCCCCGAGGTGTCCAAGCAAAAATAGGGAAATGAACTGAAGAGACACTTCTCAAAAGGATTAGAAATGGCCAGTACGTATATAAAAATATTCACTGTATTTAGCCAACAGAAAAATACATATCAAAACCACAGTGAGATTCCATCTCACCAGAACCACAAAGGTTATCTCCAAGAGTAAAAAAAACAATGAATACTAGTGAGAATGTGGGTGAAAAGGGAAGTCTCCTACATTATTGGTGGGAATGTAAAGCAGTACAACTGCTATGGACATCGGTACTGAGGTTCCTCAAAAAACTAAAAGCAGAAATACCATTTGATTCAGCTGTATTACTTCTGGATATATTCCTGAATGAACTGAAGACAGCATTCTATGGCATTACATACCCAGGTTTACAGCAATGCAGTTCACAATAGCTAAACTGTGGAAACAGCCTAGATACCCATGATTAAATGAATGCATAAAGAAAATGTGGTATATACACACAATGGAGTATTATTCAGCCATAAGGAAGCATGAGACCTTATTACCTGCAGGAAAAGTGGTGGAACTGGAGAACATTATGCTAAGCAAAATAAACCAGTCTCAGAAAGTTAAATATTATGTTTTTTTTCTTATATGAGAAACCTGAAATATGTATGAATAAATAGTAAATAAAATAAAGAAGAGATAATAGAAAACGGGAAGGTAAATGCTTTGAAATTGGGAAGGGAAGCAACCAGGGGCCCGGGAAAGAAGAACGGGGTAAATGGTATTGAAAGTGTTCGAGGTATATTATATGAATGTACCAATTCCCTCAAATGAACAACACTATTCTAACATACACTAAAAAAAGAAACCTTACTATCCTGTAAAGCTTATTTCCAATGACAGCTCCTCAACAAAACCTTTGCTGACTGCTTCTCTTTTGATCCTAAATCATTCACTTCCTGCTGATAAATTCTTATCAAACTTTGCCTTATGCTGCAATTCCTTTGGCCTCTGTATTCTCTCTCTAATTTGACTTCAAGCTCCCTGAAAATAGGAGTTATGTCACATCTAGTTTGTAACCTCCTATGTAGTCCTTAATATACTATGTGGCATGGTTAAGTTATAAAAATAGCTCTTTTACCACTTGAACACAATGCTTCTCTCATGCAAGTGCTTACAACTGAAAATGATGTTTGACATAAAAGAAACTAAGAAGACTGAGTATAATAAATGGCAGAAAAATTGCTACATTTTTAAATGCACACATGCTGCTTTGTGAACACATGAGGAAAAGTCTCTGTGACTGACAAATTGACACAGATGCCAAACTCTCACCATCATGTCTCTGGTAAAGGGAATGAAATTCAAGAGCTGCAGCTGATGCACTTGAAGCTTCTAATATCTTCACATCACTAAGGGTTTATGATGATAAGTACTCCTTGAGAATTGAGTACCTGTAATGCACTTGGGCCTCTGCACGCTTTAGTGTCCGGCTCATAGGCAAGCTTTCCTTGCTAAGGGATTCAGTTTGAGCATTGAAGCTGGGAGCTCCCACACTGCTGCAAGTTTGATTCACTGGGAAGCTTTTAAAACTCCTGATACCCAGATCACATCCTGCATTAATTAAATCAGAATTTGTGACTCAGAAGCCAAATGATGGCAGTTTGTCAAGATTCCCTAGGTGATTCCAGTGTGTAGTAAAGTCTGTGAATTACATAGCACTGGCTGAATTTTCTCTAGGCTGAAGAGGCTCTTGTCATTTTCCAGTGTGGCCACTAGATGGTGCTCCTGCCTGAAGACTAGAGGAGAAGCTTGGTGGTACTTTTCCTAATTAGCAAGGAGGCGAGGACTTACTTTGCGTGAATTTATTTTGGTAGAAGAATACGCTGGGTGAGAGTTTGAATACAGAGTAACTAAATCATCTGCTGAGCTAAACTTAAACAGTGAGGCTGTTTTCAATAATTTGTTACCTTTAGAGTCCACTCATTGACCTAGGGGTGGGTACCTTAGTACAAGAGGACTGCTTTGGGGGGGATGACAGCAATCTGGAAGAACGCTACACTCTCTTCCCTCTGTTACCTGTCACTTTCTGACTTTACTGGCACCTTCCTTGATTTTCCACTACAAAGCACTTCCTGTCTCCCTGTTGATCTCTCCTTGGTCCTTGTGGACAGAGACAGATTTGTTCAGCTCAGTATTTAGCACAGTTTCCCGGGCACATGCTGAATCTCCTCCAAACATTTGTACAAGATATGGAAGAGTGCTTAGGGAATGTGGCCATTTGATGGTGAGAAGAATATGAGAAAGTGGATTATTTTAAAACAGTTTCTGATGAGATTGAACTCAATGTGGGGGGCTAATGAGGAAAATCACACAGGAGGTCACTTTTAGGAATAGAAATCCATGGCTTCCTTAATACTAGCCCATGCTATGAAGCTTTGAGTGCAATGTTAGTGTCCAGACTAAAGCAGAGGACGGGCCTGGAATGGAGCCACTGATCAGTACTTCAAAGGCAGACAATTTTCCAAGCAGTGGTGACAAAGTGAAAGACATTAGTGAATACACATCTTTCCCAGGTGCTTCTTATCGGCGTGAAGCCACGCTTCCTCACATGCGTGAGAAGGCATCTAAAAGGACCAGGTCAGATCATCTTTCCTCTCTTCTGATGCTATAATTTGTCAGTGAGCTCAGTACTGATCATCAGTTGCTAAGTACTACCGATGGATGGATTTCTGTAAACATCTTCACTTATTTGAACTCAATAGATGAAAAATCACCATCACAACCCCTACTGTTTTCCTCAGACTCTGACTGTAACAGCTTGATGTGTAACTGCTAGTCAGGATCTACCAGCAAATTTTACTTTTGGTTAGAAAACAATACCAGAAGAGATTCCGTAAAAGTTTTATCTCTGGGCCGGGGATTTAGCTCAGTGGTTTCACCTCCTGCCTCGCAAGCTCAAGGACCAGAGTTCGATCCCCGGTACCAAAAAAAAAAAAAGAAAAAAAGTTTTATCTCTATCCCTTAGGACCCTGCAGAGACACAAACTAAGGAAGTTTCCAGATAGATCGGTACGGGTGCAGGTCTATCTGGCTTTCCTGATGTGGGAGGGACTCACCAGCTCTCTGTACAGTGGGTCCAAGGTAAACCACAGGGCCACCGCACACCGCTGGCCTTTGGTGACCGCCTTCACCCCGTGCGGGTTCTCTCCTCCGGAGGAGAAGCTGATCATACGGCCACACTTTGGTTTTATAGACGCCTGAGAATGAAAGTAAAAATTAGACTTCTAATTCTTATACGGTGAACGTATCCCTCCTCGGAATTATTTGGGCTGTGCTTTAATCAAAGAATAACAGAATCCTGGTGTTAAAGAAAAAATAGTATGTCTCAGTTTTCTCGTGTTTAAAACAAAGATACAGCCAAAATAATATCTATGTCATGAAATGATATTTTTTGTGGTACTGGGGATTGAACCTAGGGCCTTCACACTGAGGTATATTCTCACCCCCTTGTAATGTTCCTTTCTTGTTGAGACAGCTTCTCACTAAGACACTAAATTGACCAGCCTGGGCTGGAGGTTACTATGCTCCTGGCTCAGCCTTCCAGAGTGCTGGGACAACAGGAGTGTGCCACCACATCCAGCTAATAAAATGATTCTAAATAAAATGTGTGGCACAATCCATGCATGTGGTAATTACTCCATGCGTGCTATTCAAGCCGCCTGCAGATTCCAAGAAGGCAAACACTCTCTTTTAATTCATTTGTATGGCTTTAGCATGACCAAAGCATCTGCATGCAAGGTAGGTGTATGTTGAGTACTTGTAGACTGACAAGGAAATGAAGAGGACATCCAGCGTGCCAGAACAGTTTCAATACTCATCTAGGTAGTGGTTATATGAGTACACCATTTCTAATTCTTTAACCGCACATTTATGTTTTATATGTTTTTCACAATGCAAAACTTTTCAAAGCCAAGTCTAATTCTCTAGGACACTGAATTCCCTTTCCAGTACTCCTGGTCATTCAGGCATTGCCTGACTCTCTCTGCCAATGACAACACACGCCGCCTTGTGGTGGCCTAGTGCATGGCCTCTGGGTGTGCAGGAATGGCCGCACGATACTGCAAAGCCTCTCTGCATTGCTCAGGTGGTGCAGTCACCACATTTACGTAGAAGAGGGTCATGAGGGAAAAGCAGATGCTGCTGTAATGACACGGAGTACGGGATCAACAAGCTGGCCCTTAAAGTAGGGTGAGTTTAAACAACTGAGTTTTAGGAAACTGGCAACTGACTGATTCTAGAGTAGAACAGAAAGTAAAGCAAGAGGAGATAGTAGCACTACTCATTTTACTGCATGGTAAGAGGCACCATTCTAACTAGCTACTTTCTGAACTGACCCAAATTGGTACAAGCTCATTCCAAGAGTGTTTTCACTCTGCACAGAATGAGAGAGCTATGTCACTACTGTCTCAAGAAGACTATCACAACCTTTTCTGAAGTCTGTGAATGATACATGAGATTCACAGCCCAGATTGTGCCATAGTGTGTGGGCAATCAGAGGTGGGTAGAGTCAAAAGTCAGAGGCTCAGGTGTGTGTGGGTGTGTGTGTGTGTCTATGCTGATTTGTGTGCATTTGTGTGACCGAGTGTGTTTGTGTGCATGACTATTAAGGAGAACAGAAAGGAGCAGTCAATTTCTAGTTTTTCCTCTTAGTCATAATAATTGAAGAAAGATTTGTGGGTTTTTTTCTGTGTGGGTTTTTTTCCCCACATAGAGTAGCTTTTCATAAGCAGCTTTGTCAAGGTGACGTTTCTGGTGTAAATCTAGAGTTTGCTAGTTATTGACACCCTCTGAATCAGTTCAGTTACCCACAGAAAGCAGTTCCTGTGCATTTCCACCTAGAAATAGCATAATACGTGATGTGTGAGGTGGCCTGCCGCCTGTGCCGGAGAAGCCTCCTTAGTTGGTGGCCTTGAGGCTGGGCTTTCACGTTCTCCGGAACACGCTTTCCTTGGCTGCCATAACTTCTCTGTGGTTAACAGGTCATGGGAGCGACGGCTTATCATTCTAAAGAATGGGTATGGGACAATTTAGTGTTTTCTCTCTGATGCAATGAGAGATGTGAAGAAATTTAGGAAAACAAGCCATCAACAGCCCGAAGCAGTTCGTATGGATTACAGGTGTGCGGGCACTGAGGGATCGCTGAGACTCATCTCATCAGATAGGGAGGGAGCTTCACCTGTCACATGTCACCATGGGGAGGAATCAACACGCTTCAATCAACTTGTCTCCCTTGATAACATGGCTTCGAAAGGACGATGTGTTCTCAAGTTTAGGTAAATGACGTGTTTCCCTGAAAGTAAGACATAACCAGAAAATAGCCTTGAAAATTAGAGATCAAAAGTGCCAGGCACAATCAGCCTTACCTGCCATCGCAGAGTACCGACTGAGCAAGAGAATAGTGAGGTGTAACCTCTGCCATGACACTGTCCATCACCATGGTAATGACCAGCAAAAGCTTAAATTTTCTGGGTAGGTGTTATTTTGGGGAAAACATGGTAATTGTAAACTTATTGTGTCATACAGCCCCATTCACATCAAAGTGAATTTTTTCATGAAATACATGGAAATCATCAAATCTGATCTCTTTTGGTCTTAAGCAGAGAAGACCAGAATGCTTTATTCCTGTCTCACAAATTAATGCCACTATTGAAAATAACTCATTATCTCCCAAGTATACTGTCCTAAAAGTGTGATTTCTTTAAAAACTCTGTTTGCTTTCTGTTTGTTGTAGTTTAGATCTAAAGTATCCCCCAGGTCTCATGGTTTCAGAGGTTGGATTTGTGGAAGATGACTGGGTCGTGGGTGTGGTATACTCACGAGCGAATGAATCCATTGATGAGTTTAGAACTGAATGTGCTGTTAGCAGCTAGGGCCTGATTGGACGAGATCCCTCCTGAGGGAGGGACCTACACCACTGTAATCTCATTCCTGGCCCTTCCCTTCTCTCATTGTTTCCTGGCCTCCAGGCATTGAGCAGCCTTTTTCTACCACGGTCTCTGCCATGATGTTTCTGCCCCAGAGCCAGCCCCACCATGGTTTCAATAGTCTAAAACTGAGAACCAAAATAAACCCCTCTCCCTTTAGGTTGTGAGTCAGGTATTTTGTCCTATCAAAGGAAAAGCTGAACAATACACCATCTCAATGATGACTGAGAGTCAGAGAAGTACTTGTGATGTACTTGTCCAGAGGAAATCTACACACTCAGCCACCAGTCGGTTACGTAGACAATCTTCAGATTTTTCAAAGTAAGGGATTCAGAAGACTTTAATTCCTTGGCTAGTTCCAAGTTAGGCCTTTCCCTGCTCTATTTACTTCAGGGAATAAGGGAAGCTGAAACAGAAAATTGACCATTTCCCTTTAGTACCAAATTTTGAATAAATTTACTATGTGAAAAAAATAAGAACTGACAATTCTATAATTTTTAGAATTTCTAGAATTCTTAACTAAGAATTCTAACTATATATGAAATACCCTAAGACCTTTGCCACGTGCTTTAACATAAAGTATTACTGAATTTTGGATAACATATTTAAGTCCGCTTTTCATTTACTTTTTTGAGGGGAGGTTAGATTCAATGCTTTGAAAAAGTTACACTGTTTCTCAAAATTATAGATCTCTAAAAGGAGAATATCTTCTGCTTTGACATGTTTAAACGCCAGAGTCGGAGTTCACTGGACTAAAATTGATTGCCATCCAAACGTCGAACACTTCCAAAGATGACCACTAGGTGGAGAAGAACCTAAGAAATCTTTTCTGATTTTCATTCAAGATGTATGAGATGCATCATTTTTTATCTGTTTCAGTGTTAGCAGAGATCAGAAATAAAATGCTTTCTACACACAGCTCTTCCAAAAGTGAAAATCCTGTGTAGGGGTTTTAAATACCAACCTATTTCATCAATCTTGATTTAATTTCACAGATGATGAAGCATCAGACAATTTCCATATTAACACTGAATCTTTTTTCCGGAAAATCCTGAGGCATCAGGACATTCTAAATGTGCCTCATTGTAATCAACTGCACGAAATATCTTTTTCTTAATTATAACAATTTCTAGAACAATTTCAATGACTGTCCTCGTAGGAATCCTCTTTAAACTCAGTAATATAGAGTTTTCAATATCACTTAATTATTCCACAGTAGTTTGTCATGTGTGATCATAGATGAGCAAATTACATAAACTGCGAAAGTAAAAGTATAAAACTCAGTTCTAGAAATACAAAGCCAATGTCCCAACTACTTAGATTTCGTATAAAAAAAGATATGCCTCATGATCTATTTATAATGTGATTTCCTCAACTGGAAAATGACTTTTCTACCACGGTGCATGCTCTTTGGCTTAAAGATCCAACAGTGCTAAATATATCGCCTCCAAGAGTAAAGTAGGCTGGTTTTCCTATAGGCACTGGTTTGCTTAGGCAGATAGTGGCTGAATTTAATACTTGATTTCCTTAACTGTGTGCATGGACACCAATTTGCAGGTATGGTTTTTGCAACTTACAGTGATATACATCCACATATCCACAAGTACATAGACCCATCTATGATCATTTTGGTAAGCAGGGATTTAGAGGCCTGGAGAACACCAAGTTACTTGGAGCTATTCTGTATCATCATTTGATCTGTCTTAGACTTGGGTAACTTAGGAACTGTTGTTTTTATATTTCTGTCAGAGTGCTTAACAAAGAATCAGAAGATCTAGGTTCCTAAGATTTTGGTTCCTAATCTACTGTGAACTAGCTATATGATCACACTCCAATCCTTAATGCCTTGATCATTTAATCTACCCACCTTTAAAGTGGACTAGAATAGATTTATGGAGGCTTCCACTTCCAATGTTTTATGATCTATACATTTAACGGGACTCACTTCACCTCTTAAATCCTTGATCTTGCAAGTATTTGAAATCCAGTAGCCTATCAGCCAATGGAAATATGGCAAGACTGAAAAAAAAAGGTTAAATACATCTTCAGGAAGAGGTTTACTTACAGTCACAGTCTTAGCATCCATTTCAGTGAATATGAATTCTCCTCCTTCGAAGTCATCATTCATGTACAGGAGAGCACTATAACAGTAAAGGGAAAACCATTCATTCCATTAAATCCTTACACCAACATTATCAAAGAACACTGAAGGCTGGTGGGAAATGAGCCAGCCTGATCAATACATTGCCTTTGAGGTAGACATTGAAATAATTGACCCTCCAACCCTTGACAGTAAGATCAGATGAAGTTTGGGTTACAGGCCTGAGGCATGTATTGATTCCACCTGCAGTGAAGATTTAATTATAATTTGAAGTTCATCTCACATTTCCATTCCTCCAAAGAATGCCTAACTAAATTTGATTTAATATAGCCATCTGAACTCATTCTCACTGCTTATAACTCTCTTCTTCCCTCATGTAAGAGGTACTTTAAAGGATACATCTATATGGAGATAACGTATTCTGGAGTTCCCCAGATTTGCAGGCAGGAGTGCTCAATAAATGTTTCTGAATAGGACACAGTGTATTAATAATTAACACACTAGTATATACAGGGTCATTATAACTCCTGATCCTTCTCTTTACAATGCAGATATCTTTCCATGAGAGAAAACATTATTTTATTTTGAATTTCGAGTTTCTTACGGATAAAACGTAGACATAGTTCTTCACAGATGTGAATAATAGCTAAGTGATATGACAGACCCTACAGGTGTTGGAACATCAGGCTCATATTCTCAGAATGAAGTACACCGAAGGATATGTCTCAATCAAAACAACGCGATTAAAAAACACTCTAGTTAACTGGATGCAAAATGTATATGATGTTTGAAAAATGCAGATGGCATTTCTCAGTTATGGTGGCTGCTCCAGGAGATGACTTGAGAAATTCTGCTCCACAGAGATGAACACCATAACAAGCCAAAGACAGCAGCTTCCTAGCTTCTGTGGGTTTTGATAACTGCTGGGTCAAAGCCTGGAGTGAAGGAGGCGCCGGTAGTACCTGTAGTCCCGGAAAGTATAGGCAGGGGGCTCCTTCCAGCATTCATTGGCCTCAGGATCCAGCAGGCAGTTGTCAGCGTGGATGGGATGACTGAGGTCATTTCTTCTGTCTTGCTGACCTGCCACCAAAAGGAACGAGAGGAATGAGATGAAGTGCAGAGACTTCCAACAGATGATATAACTGTCTTCTCTCATCGTAGAAGACGGGAATAACAGTGGTCAAGAGTTGAGGCTGTTTGGTCGTGAACTTGATGGGAAATTTTGGGCAAATGATACCTGTCTCTTCAATCATAGAAGTTTTCTGGTATAAACACCCATGTGTAAACTGCATGCATTTCACAGGTGGCACTTCATGTGCAGCAGCAAAAGGGTAAGGATAACATGAAAGTGTAAATAAATGATTTCTATTTGGCTAAAACTCCACAAGGGTGATGTCTACTCCTGTGACTCCCTTTTTCTCCCATTCAAGGGGGAACGAGGAAAGAAGGAAAAAGGAGGAGAGAGGAAATGACGAAGATAAGGGAGTGAGGAAGACTCTGCCTTTCAACAATTCTTAATAATTCCTTCATTGTCTCTGTTTTTGCTCAATGCTTGGGACATTACAACTGTAATGTTCAAGGTCTTGGTTCCAAGAAAAGAAACCCAGAACAGAAAAACATTTTCTGTCTGGCCCTAGCAATTAGAAGAAATGGATTTGAAAGAGTGTACAAAGTAAGGGGTCTTCCGAAACTTTAGAGGAACAAAAAGGAGAAAAAGAAGAACGGGAAAAATAAAGAATTCACACTGTTTGTTTCTTTTTTTAGAAACACAGATTTTTCAGTGATGTATTTCCCATTGCATCATGAGTAGAAGGGAACAAGGTGAGGCCATGAAATCTCACCGGACAGGGCAGTTCGGCAGACCAAGTGTGTATAGGAAAAATACAGGGTCGAGTTCAGCATGAAATAGGATTCCACGATCTTTCGCGCCTTCTCACTGACGTCGTAGAACAGGCGGGCACTCTTCAGTGGGACTCGGCCTTCATAACCAAACTGAAGGAGAAAAACAGACAGTAGAAACCATGAGGTTGGCTGGAGGACTCAAAATAGACAGACACAGGGGTTCACTGGGTCCGTACAGGAAGACCATCTCTGACCTGACTGAAACTAGGCGCTTGCGGATTTGGGTTAGGACAATAAGCGTTCTTCATTCCTCTCTAACAGTACTTCTTGCAACAGAGAACTGTTATCTGTTTCGGCCTGTTTTCATAATTAGAGTATGAGCCCCTTGAGGACAGGGGTTGCATTTTTTGGTCAGGTACGAATTTAGGAAAAGTAAAGGTGAGTAAATGGATGACTGGATGAAGGAATGAACAATAAAATGGCTGCAGGTGTAGCCCTGCATGCACCAAGCCCTGGCTCAGTCTACAGCACTCGAAGCCAAACAATCAAAGGCACCAACAGTTTCCACTTTGGGCTTGCTCCCTAAACCTCCCCATATCTGCTATTAATCAATCCCTCCACATCGATGCTTAAAAACCCAACCCCAAAGGGAAGACTTTACCTTGAGTGCTTTCAGGACAGTTGCACCTTCAAACTTTTCATTGGGCGTATGGGGTGAAGTTTTTCCTCTGTATCCATCACCGACAAGCATGATTCCCTAAGCAAAAGGCAAGAAAATGGCTGCTCAATGACAGCTGCTTGGATGAATTATCAGTCCTTTTGGCTTTAGCTTCCAGAAAGCCGGGAGAGAAAGTCCACACTCTGAACCACTACCATTTCATTCAAGGATCCAGGTATAATTAATTCTTCCAAATGGAGAGATATCTTTATTTCATCTTCAGTCTACATTTTCCTTATAAAATGTTATGCTTTTTGTAAAAGTGAATGGAATATAAATGATGTATATATGGGTAGATTACTGATTAAAATAAAGAGACTTTAAATGACAGGAAGGGCACATGCGGGAGAGCCACTGTCTTAGGATGGAAGCCACCAGTTATCCAGGGCCAACCTGGAAAATGAAAATCACCCCAGCCCGAAGCCTACAAAGTGCCCCTGCTGTCAAAGCTCTGGTCCTGAAGCAAGGCCTGATTTTAGGCCCTATTCCTTGGATCCACATGGGCCTGGACCATGGCCCTCCCAGCCTCCGGTAGGTAGTGGTAGGTGGTTCTCCCCACCCCATCCCCGCCCTGTCCTCACTCTGGCCACGCTGTGGAGCTCTCGGCACTGCTCTTGGGACAGGACATTATCCAGGAGAACCCGCTGGGTCCCGTTCAGCTGCTCAGAGTTGTAGACAAAGGTGACATTCTCGTAGAGCAGAGGGCCACCTGAAGGGACGACAGAGCACATTATGTTCCCATTACTCCCATCCTGTCGGCAAGAAGGGAGGTGCAGAACACACCACTGCTTCCAATGGACAGTCTGGGAACATCAGTTTCTTCATCACTACTTAGGAATGCAAGCACACATCACATCAGGCAACTTGATGAACAGAAAAAGGCAGATGTGCAACTCCCAGTTTTCCCTGTTATAATAATATATGAGGTGCGTACTGTATTTGGGGATAGATAAACTGTTTTCTTTCATTTTATTCAGGATGCTCCTGAAAAGCAGGTGGAGCATCTCATGGGATTCTCCTCTAAGAAGACTCACCCTTCTCCAGGGCCTTCGTTCCTACCTCTGTCGTAGCACGGCGGACAGTTATTTGACATATCCTGACCCCGGGTGGGACAGGCTCAGCTCAGTTCCGCCGTTCTAGAGCAATGCCTTCCCCGGGTAACTCAGGCTGTCACACCAAGTCACCCGATGCCTTTGCCAGGCCCCTGCCCACTGCTCCACTGACTGTCATGGTCTTGTATTTGGAGTCATTATTTCTCTGCTTTCTGGCTAAAATCTTTCCAAAGTCTTTTCTACACTGGAGTTTCCTGTAGGTTGCTCTAAGAGTCCCCAACTTTAGAAAAATCACCCTCATGTTGTCTTTGCAGAGAGTGACATTGGGGTCACATTTTAATTTGTGAAATGATAAAATCCAGACCTGACAAGGTCCGTTCCTCATACAGTGGGTCTGAAGAAAAAGCCTCTGACACTGAAGAAATCTTCAGCTGTACAGAGTGCAAATGTCATGAACTGGAAGCCGAGCAGAAAAGAGTGGTTTTTAAACTTCCTATAAAATTCCTAATAAGGATGAAGGAGGGCCTGGCAAGTGCCTGTGGGTACAGAGAGCTCAGCACACAGAGCAAGAGGGTAGGGGAGGCAGGCAGGGGTCCTTCCGTCCTCCCCAGGAATAGCAACGGACACCAACACCGGGCCTAGAACACATGTGTGGGAGGAAGTGGAGATGCTGAACTTGAGGTCCGCTAACCTCTACGGCACAGTTTAGTCAAATAAGGGAAAAGGACTATCTAACTCTTTATTGTTCTACTTAGGACAAAAGCTTCACTACATCCCATGATTAACGGAATGTGAAGAGAATGAGACAGCATTTCTCAATCGTGAGCAACACATGGTTCTCTCTTAAAGCAAATCTTCCCTCGAAAGCTCCAGTGCTAATAAATCCATTGTATAATATAAAACTCTGACATGATAAATGGGGGTTGTAAGCTGCTACATTTGTGCTATTTATTTTTTCCATACAAATAAAACAAAACAAAACAGTGGCCTCCTCCGATGCCCAGAATCTCTTACTATAGGGCAGAGTTCGGGAAAAGTTGTTCCAGTCTATGTAGCTGATTAGGATTCATACTCCTAATCACATGTAGACTTTCCTTCAGATATTTGGAAGAGTGAACTGCCCTGCTCACTGCAGTTTAGAAATATGAAAAGAAATGTTCCTCCAACAAGAAAGACCAGATGCTGGTAGGTTCACTGAAAAGCATTCATTGAAATAAAATTCAAATAGAAATGGAGTGTAGTAGCAAACTAGGTTCACTTGTATTTTGCTAGATTTTCTTTGTGATTTTCTTTTGAGGGTAGATTACTTTTAACATAATCAGCTCATTTTCAAAATATGATCTTTACAGTTACCAGACTAAAATATTCAAAAATGTGCCTATCACCCATGTTCTGTATAAGTATTTCTTATCATTCTTATGATTACTATTACTAAGTTAGTTAAATAATGCCTGGAATATTGTGTTAATTCCGAATGGAGCATCCCAATTAGCATATTTCATAATGAAGGATACCTTAGGGCAGGAGACTGAGATATTGACACTTCCTGCAGTCAGACCTCCCAATGACCAGGTAAAGGAAGAGTACAACATGGAATCTTCAATATTTAGAGGCAACCAGGTCTAGAGAGAATCTGTATTTGGTTATGTGGTTCATGTAGGTATTATGGTTATCACTAAGTATAATTTTTGTCAGAACATATATACTTGACAAAAACAATCATCACCCTCTAGTAAAAAAAAAAGAAAGGGAGAAAAACGTTGTCATTCATAAGGCAGCCTGCAGATGACTAGCAGCACACCAGACAGAGGAAAATGTTAAAATTTAAACGCAGTTCAGTAGGTTGTGGTTCCCGAGGTCTGATTTGACAGCTTCAGCCAATTCTTAGCCACAGTGCAAGGAGATTTAAGCGAGTGAATTCTTCTCTCATTCATAAAGTATGTGCCTGGCTCTTGCTCTCCAGTAGCAACAAAGAGAGATCTTCTAGGAAAGGACTCCTCTGTGCTCACTGCTTGTGGTTCATGGCATGAAGAATCGCTTTTCCACAAACACCAGTGTCACACAAGGCAAGATTGGGGTGTGCATGCCAAGAAGCCCTTATATGAGCACAGTCTCATACAGTTTACAGAAGACTTTCCCAGGCATCATCTCAAAACCTTGTCGTCCTTCATTTACAGACAAGGAGCGTGAGTCCAAAGGGTTTCTACGTTCCTATCAGTGTGCAGCACAGGTGAAGAATATCATCCCAGAGATTAGGCCTCCTACTGATTCCAAGTTCCATGTTGTGTCCTTCATACCGCCAATGACTCTGAGATCATTACTGAGCATGGCTTTTGGAAAAACAGTGATTGAGGGAAGCATGGAAAAGTGGCGGAACTGCTTTAGTTAAGCACTTGGGATGTGGTGCTGAGTGACTCTTAGCATAATGTTTACGGAGCTGTGTTAATGAATAGCATCAGGCAACCAGGACAGAGGACAATCTCTTTGTGGAAGATGAAAAAGAAACATACTTTATTTTGTGGCACATGCATCACTTTTTCTCTCCTTAAGATCTGCTTTCAGCCAGACTAAGATATAAAAGTGTTTTCTGATTTGGAATTTTCTCTCTATCTGCCACTGCTTTTCATTGAGATCCTATTTAGATGTCTAGTGTCTAGAAAGGTTTTCCAGTTACGGTACAATAAGAAATATAATTGGTCACTGTACTTAATTCCTAGTTCAAAGCTTCAGAAACCCTTGTAATTTCCTGAAGACAAAAGGTTTTTTTTTTTTTATTCATAATAAGTTCTTTTTGTTGCCACCTGAGTTTATGATAAAGAAGTGATTTCAGGTGCAGCCCTGGACGCACTCTGACTGAAACTGTCACCAGGAAGACCCCATGAAAGGACCAAAATTTGCATCCTTGCCCAGGAAACTCTGGGAAGGGGCAATGCCCTGGGACGTGGTGATGCTGGGAAGGTGTTTTCTCCAGGTGAGACAGGCAAGTGCCTGCTTCCCCATACCTTGTCCTGTGTACCTCTCCATCTGGTTGTTCATTTGTATCCTCTTGAAAGTCCTTCCTGCTGAACTGGTAAATGTGTTTCCCTGAGTTCTGTGAAGTGCTCTATAAACTATCCAACTTCAAAGAGAGGGTCACGAGAGCCCCATTGGTAGCCAATTGGTCAGGTCAACCAGGAGTCCACTGGTATGGGAAGTGGGCACAGTCCTGTGGGACAGAGCCCTTTGCTTGTGGAACCTAGCAGCATCTCCAGACTCTGCCTGAGGGTCAAACTCCAATCCAATTCTAGGGCACCAAGTTGGTGTTCCTTGGAGAACTGCTTGGAGTGAGGCAAAACCAAACCAAACCAAACCAAACCACCACCACCACAACAACAAAAACACACACGTCTGGTTACATGTGTAAAAAATTATTGTTTTTTTCTTTCCTGCAGTCTCTTACATTCCCAGAGAATATCCTGAAATCCACTGCCCAATTCAACCAAAAAAATTGCAGACATGATAGATTTTTTGTAGCCGCCCCCACCAAAAAAAATCACAACATACAGTCCTCGATTCTACTCTTCCTTCCAACCTTCCTAGTCAATTGCTGGACATCAGTTTCCCTGAAAATCAAAAAAAGACTTGGAATTTGGCAATTGTCCTGGAGTTTCCCAAACACTTAACAGCACAGTGCTGAGCTACTGGCATGTTCTTCCTGGGTGATTTCTCAGCTGAAAAACCAACATGAACTCTGGCTGACCATGAACCTTTCTGGCTGTTGTAAAACAGCTTGGGCTTTGAGGCTAAAAACTGAGGTCTAGGTCAGATGGGATGCACATATTATCCTGTTTACTGCTTCAAACTGATTTGGAAGCTAAGGAAGGAAAGGGCTGGGAAATGTACAAGTTGTACAGAGCCAGAAGTTTCCAAGTCAGCTACAGGAATGTGCTGACAAGCTCTCTTAGGGGAGGAAGTACTGTACTTCTCAACGTAGGTTTTTGAAAACCTCTTTGTATCTTGCATGACAGTTGACCATCTGTACCTATCGGCAGTTATGCACCAATGAATTCATCCAACCTAGTATTGAAAATAATCGAAAAAATTGACTCTGGACTGATTATGTTATAGCCTTTTCTGTCATTATTCCATAAGTGGCAGAGTACACCAACTATTTACATAGTACTTACATTGTATTGGATACTGTAAGTAATTTGCAGATGTTAAAGTATACAAGAGGCTATAAATAGGTTATATATAATCCATTTCATATAAAGCACATGAATACCTTTGGATTTTGGCATGCTAGGAAGTAGGGGAGTCCTAGAACCAACCCTAGACAGATACCCAGTGTCTAATCACTTTCTTATTGCTGAGATTTCAATCCACAGTGAGCTGTCTCCAAGGCAGGAAGCATGGCAGAGGACCCCGGTGGAGGAGAGCTGCTCAGGGCATGGTGCCAGGGAAGCAGAGTGAAGGGAAGACCTGAGAAGGGAGATAAACCCCGGCCACATCCCCACCGATATGCCTCTTCTTAAGAGATTCATCTCCCACCACCAAATCAGCTCTATAATCCCCACCCTCCAATCACCACCCACAAGCCACTGCCTCTGACCGCAAGAGGCTTTGGGAATGAACATTGATTTATACACCATAACACACTGGGAAGGCTGTATTTAATCAACAGAGGCTACACTGTGAGGGTGGACATTTTTATATTCCATACAGCAGGTGAAGAAGACAACAGGAATTACATTCCAAAGTCTGTGTTCAAATTCCTCCCCAACATATTATAAGTTATGAGATCTTGGCGAAGTCACTAACTGTATCCTTTCATACACAGGCAAGGCTGCTAGTATTAAATGAACTGTATGTAAATTTGCTTGAAAGGTTTTCATAACCTTTTTTATGCAGAAACAATAATTGTTAAGGATTACAATTTCTGATATTACTAATACTGCTAATAGTTTAATGATTGGCTCTATTTAAAAGCTGCTTTTGGCAACACTCCATCTGTGATTCCACCAAATTTGATCTTACACGACTGGGAACATAATGTGTTGCTGTCTCTATTTCTGTGCCTTTACTAGATTTGTTTTATCATCGACAATGGCTGCTTCGACACCTCTGTCAATTCAATCAGTCTAATTTGAGGCTGGTGATGTAACTCCGTGGTAGAGCATGAAGTCGAGCATGTATAAGGCCTTGGGTTTAATTCCTAGCATTGAAAAAAATTAAAAAATATGATCTACTTTTCCTCAAAGCATTGCTCAGGTCTATATTCTTCAAGTATCTTAGGTGAACAAACATAATATCTCACGTGACCTATCTCCTCTCCAAGTTCCTCAGAGATGCTGTTGACCCCATACTACCTGGACCTCACTAATTGACTGCATGAAATAATTAAGTCCTGTGACCTTACTAAGACTCTGGAATTTGACTCAGGATGGGATGACCACATCTTCCTTGCCTAACTCACAGTATTCCAGTGGGTCACAGCTGAGGGAGAGAATTTGGATCACTTCTGAAAAGATATAAAAATCTGAGAGATTCTGTTTGTAAGCCTTCCTTTCATCCTGATTAGTCTCACTATTATTTCAGCCTGATTAGTCTCACTATTATTATTTCAGCCTGATTGGTCTACTGCTATAGATTAGTCTCACTCTTCATTTTCCAGAGAATGTGGGTTTTTTTCTTGATCTAGATCAGAACTGTTCACAGCTCACCCCTTCTCCTCCTTGTGAGGGTAAAAGTGTGCAAGAACTTACCCTCCCTTAGGTCTCGCTCTATCTTGAGTGATGACTTTTTTCCTACTGACAATCCATGAACTTCTGCCTCTTCCACATTCACTCCTGAAGGTACCCTGTACATTCAAAAATTGAAATCACAATTTCTCATTGATCCAAGATGGTTAAAGGCAAAGATGCTATCATGTACGTTTGTGTATATTGCACACAAGTCCACCTAACTTTCAAAATCAAATCAAAGTCCCTGCCTCTGTGAAGTACTGTTATTTTCTCAATGACCATCCTCCATTTCAGTCTTCTAAATACTTTTTGCAACATTCATTATAATTAATTGCATTTATACTTCAACCCCTACCTTGCAGATTAGATTATCATGCCAAGAAATAGGAAAAAAAAATGACCATGCTCATTTTCATAATGCTCAAATACTGCACTATACCTTGAGCCTGGAGGTATCACTGAATAATTATTGGTTTGAAATAAAGTGTGTGCTAACGTTATAGTTCTTGACTATACTTAGAAGAACATATAGGTTTATGCCATGCATTTCACAGGCAAAAATGATAGGAGGCTGTGCCTTCAACATACTCAATGAGCAGATTGGACAGATCCAAACATGCATGTACACTCTGTTCTCCTGCAATAATCTTATACCACTCCAGTGTTAAGTCCCTAAAAACCAATAAAACATCTTAAGATTCTGAGTAAGAACTGAATCTGCTAGTCCCTCTTCATGAAGGCCTAAGTTTCTTCTCTCGACTGACCTGTTTCCCAATTTGAAAACAGTTAAACTGGACCATGTGATGTGAAACATACATAACTCAACCATGTAAATTTGCTTCAATTGTTTTAAAAATATGAATTATCCCTTCTAAGTGAGTTAGTAACACCTTATATTTATCTTGCATAAGAACTTTCTGAACTTCTTAATTTCAAGTAAATACAGTAAGGGAATTTAAATAAAGTAAGGGAATTCACCATCACAAGAAAATTTCATAGTTTTTTCCTACTAATAAGTCAAAAACAGGACCCAACTCTCCCTGATTTGGAATCATACAATATTAGCCTTCCAAGACCAACTGATTCAACTTCTTAATTTTAGGAAAAATCAAGAGACCCAGGGAGAATGATAATCATTTAAAGTCACACAAATGTGACTGGAATAGCTAGGACCAGGACACAGATCTCTTCATTTGCAGCTCAAAACTGTTAATTGTATTTTTTTTTTTTTACCAATGTCATACAGCTAAGTTCCTTATAATATGTTCTGTATTTCTTTTCATTGGACAAAAGCAAAAAAAAATCTGAATAGAAGACTCACTGATTCTCATCTTGTCGTCCTCCATATCTGATCCAATAATTCTGTATTAAATTAAGAAAACATTTGTAATTTGGTTGCTATAACATCATTTACAGAAATAACATAAAAGTACACTGAAAGTATTCCAAAGACCTAAAATATAAGGCAGCTTGAATCTAACATCAAAACACAATATATGCTTTATCTAAAAACTTAATAAAAAGCAGGCTAGCCGGGGATTTAGCTCAGTGGTTTCGCCGCCTGCTGTGCAAGTGCAAGGACCCAAGTTCGATCCCCGGTACCAAAAACAAAAAAACCCCCAAAAACAAAAACAACAACAACAAAAAAAGCAGGCTAAGCTTGATGTGATTTTGGCAAAAGCAAAATGACATACGAGTGAATCAAAAACTAGTATGGAATTAGCTTGGACATCCATCCTTTTAGTCCCAGAAAGTGACCTAAAAATTGGTTTTACAGAGATGCTTGAAACATCATTCAGTCCAACTGTTTTATGTTTTATGGAAAAACTAAGAAAGAAAAGAAGTTCAGCTTGATTATTTGTCTAGGATTTTCAAATCAGTAAGTGACACGTTCTGGGATCTGTTGGGGTAACACAATGTTTTCAAATAAAAAATAAAAACAAATATAACAGAAGTATTACATTAGAAATATGATCTTAAATTAACCAGATCTTTAAAATGTGCCAATGAATACAAAGCATACCTAAGAAAAATAATAAATATATTATAAATGGAAAATACTATAAATAATGCTTCCATAATCATATTAATGTATATTACTGAAAACATGTAAGTAACCTATAGATAAACAAATAAAGTCCATGACCAGGTGATTCTAAAAAGAAAAGAAAGGCTTAGAGTGGTGCACACCTGTAATCCCAGCACTATAGCAAGCCAAGGCGGGACAACTGGAAGTTCAAGCCCAGCCCGCATAATGTAATGACTGAAAGTCTGTCTCAAAAGGAAAAGTAAAAAGGGCCTAGAGATGTAGCTCAGTATGAAAGCTCTGGTGAGCAAGGGATATAGCTCAGTGGTGCTGTGCCTGCCTCGAAAATGCAAGGTCCTCAGTTCAATCCCTGGTACCACAAATTAAAAAAAAAAGAAAGCAAGTCCCGGGTTCAAACCCAGTTAGACCGAAAGAAAAAAGAAAAAGAAAAGAAAAGAAAGGAAGGAAGGAAGGAAGGAAGAAAAGAAAAAAGATAGGGAGAGAAAGAAAAAAGCGGGAGGGAGGGAAGAAAAGAAGAGTAATGTAATATAAGTGATTTTAGGATGTTATTTTTTACTGATGAGAAGTTGATGGTAAACTGGTACTTTTGTGCAACACTAGGAGCAGAGAAGATATCAGAAACACTCCCTTGGGAAAGCAACTTAAGTTTGAGAATTTTTTTGTACCAGGGATTGAACTTGGGAGGTTTGAGAATTTTAAAACCTGATATCCTTTGATGGCAGAGAAATCCTACTGGGATTTAGAATGAGGTTACTGTTCAATAGAAAGAAAAAAATGCTTAATGGATTAAATATAGTAAAAAAAATCAGAAATAATTCAAATATCCAGCAGCAGGAGAAGTTATTTTTTGTACATCAGTTCTATGTACACGGCTAGAAATAATTTTAAAAGCTGTACAAATACAGAAATGACTTATGTCTTTCTATATAAAAATCAGAACATGAAGAAGTCTATACCATGGCACTAGTTCTATAAATGCTGTCTCCAAATGAACAACGGTTAGAAGGAAGCATGGGACGTGGAGGAAGGGCAGCCAGATGCGCTGTGACTGATTTTGTTCCTTTTGAAGCCTCCTTAGTTTTAAATAATAAGGAAGCATTAATAGAAGCAGGAAATATTAGGTGTTCATACAGAATTTGAGGAAACCAAACAACTCCGAGGCAAATGAATTGTATAGAAACTACTTTTACTGGACATATTTGCTGTGACTTTGGACCTCAATGATATGGAAATCTATTAAAATTTATATACTGAGCAAAGATTCTTCTTTCTCAATTTTTAACTCAAGCTGGATGTCGAGACTTTCAACAAATAGGGTGGGGAATAAAACTATAAATAAGAACTCCATTGAGAAATTCTTTTAATAAACATTTCATTTTTCCATTTTGATCTTACTGGTTCAGTGTATGAGAATCCCAGACCCTCTGCAGCCGATTTTATCAGTTCAGCTTCAAGTTTATGACGTTTCACAAACATTGCCGCATCCTAGGGGAAAAAAAGAAAGGGAAGAAAAAGAGGATAACATTTACATTAAATAACATTTAACAAATACTGACTCAGCCAAACGTGGTGGAGCACGCCTGCAATCAATCCCAGCACTTGGGAGGCTAAGGCAGGAGGATCGCTGCAAGTTCAAGGCCAGCCTGGGCTACAAAGTGAGACCCTGCTTCCAAAAAAAAAAAAAAAAAGTAAAAGAAGAAATATAGACACAGAAATCATTATAGCAACAGAAGACAAACTCACTCCTGAGTCCTTAACCTGTTATTCATTAAAAGCATAATTTGTATTTTCTTTTGAGGCAGCTGACCTACTAATGCCCGTGGGAAAACTAAAAGCAGGACAAGCTTGGCACTTCTGCTCTCATTTTCTATGTCCCCTTTATGACATTAAAAAGGTGTGTCAGATCCAAGTTCAACTGTGCACATAGGCATGTTACCAGCTGCAGGAGTGTCTGCATTACATTAGCCCTACATTTACCCAGCCTATCTTATCCCCCATCGAGACTGACAACACCCAGATGAGACAACGGAGTTTCAGGATCTACAGGCAGTTTCAATGACCAGCATTTGCAGTGTCCAGTTCTAAACGGCCGTCATCCTAAGCCTGAAGTCACCTGGGGTCCAGGAAAAGCAGGCTTGCGACCAACCCGAGGTGAAGTCACCCCACCCCCGAGCAAGAATAACCATTTCATGGGAACTGAATTTTCCCTCAAGCCAAAAAGGATTTCTCCAGAGCTAAGAAATCAGAACTGAGATAGTAATCAGCCAGACCCAGGCCACCACAGCTCCCCAGAAAACCGGTTTCCACTCTTTGTTGGGCCAGTCTGATCCTCCTCTTCAGACCTGGCCCCCTTAAATTCCTCAAAGGGGACTCCCTCCCTAATTCCCATCACTTTCCTTTGTTAGAGGTCCAGCTTGATGTTTGTCACAGCTCTACCGTCTCCTGTTTTACCTTACTTCCCAAATACAGCTCTTTACCTGTAAATTCGCGCCAAATGCCTCAGTTTTAATTTCCATTATAACTAAAGCAAGGACCCATGCTAGGTGGTAATAATATAATATGATAGATGGTCAAGTAAAAGTATTTTTTATTTGATAATGACAAATGAGCTAATATTCAGAAATATTCAGTGCTGCAAAAACATATCCCCATGTAGACATATTTTCACAAGCTAGCCTATATGAAGAAAAATATGCTTCTGGTCTGAATAAAGTTTGAAAGAACTAAGTTCTAGAATCTTTCCTAAATTGTCAGATATCTTGAAGAGCAGTGTTATAATTTGGTTATTTCTCCCAAAAGCATGTGGCAGAATAGAGAACTTCTTCTCAAAACCATGATCTTACCTCTCTAGGCTCGATGGATGCTGTGTCCATTCCATCCTCCATCAGACTTTCATAGTAATCTACATTGTCCAGTACATCCACATCATCCGGATGGAAGAGAAGGTAGGCCTTGGCACATTCCAAAGCTTTTACATAATCACCAACTGAAAGGCCAAGAATGTGCAGCATAAGGTGAGCCTTGTTCTCTGCTCAGAGGGCTTTAGAGAGAGACATCAACATATCCATTGATGTCAGCATTGATCATCAAAGAAAGGGAATAAAAGTGAGGCTGAGCAGAGTAAACAGAAATATAGAAAAAGAAAGGATATGACTTGAGCCATGCAAAGAGATAATTTGTGGTATGCTTTGGTGCTACATGTTTCGCATACATGATTAAAAGTCTTTACTTGAAGATTTTTGTGGAAAACTTATTTAATACAAATACAATATACAATACAAATACAATATTACAATACAATACACAATAAATACAATTTGTATTTAATACAAATACAATAATATTTGTATATTTAATACAAATAACAGAACTATAGAAGTTAATTTTGATGTTTGTATTTATTTAGGTTAACTAAACGTTCTGAGGATGACCTTCTACATCAAAGAAGCATCATTTTGTACATGATGTGTGAAAAGTGTAAGTGATTTTGAAATGATTCTTCTCATTGCTGTTAAGATTGCAGTAAACTGGTACTTTTATGGAATGTTCTGGAGAATCTCCCCAGCCCCTTGCACTAACACTGTGTCAACCTAAATAGTAGCCACCTGCTAAAAGAAACAAGCAATAATGTTTCAACGATGAACTCTCTGTTGGAAATATTTATCTATTACAAAGAAATATTTAGTTTGAAAGTTGTACGTCATATTTTCAAATAGGTCACAGCACTGGATTTGGTTTAAAAGAAATTCCTTCCAGATATATATACTCAGAGATGGCTCTGATTTTTAATAAGCATGACAACAATTAGGCAACTCTCTCAACTCCTTTGCATTCACTCCTCATGATGAGCACAATTTATTATTTGCCATCAATGCCAGTACAATGAGTAATCTTTCCTTTGGAGAAAGGAGAGGATTTCCAAAGTAGCCTTAAAATGTTGGCTTCAAACTTTTTATTATTTTAAAAGGGGGATACTTTCCTATTGACTTCTATGCAAGACACTGATGCTAGAGATAGTAGAAACAACTAGAAGAACAATGACCTGGGAATTATGACCTGTCAGTAAGCTAAGTGACTTTAATAATTTCTCTACAAAATAAAGATTTTAGACAACATGATGTCTATGACCAATTTCAGCAATCTGAATTCTATTGCTTTGAAATATAAGAAAAGATGCTCAATATCTCTTTCTCACTAAGATAAAAATATTTTGCCGTATCAGTTTTCACTAGTGGATTGGTGGCTGTAAAATTTTGATAATATATAGTCTACTCATGAACAACAGAAAATGAAATCTATATGGAGTAACATTTTACAATGTCTATCAAAACTAAAAATGAATAAATTTTTTGATCCATCAATAGTACATCTCGACATTTATCCTGTGGATAATTATGTATAGATACGGAATGACATATGTGAAATATTATTCACTTGAATGTTGATCGTAATAGTAAAAGATTATGAACAACTTCTTATCAACAAAGAGAAAATTTAATTATAGTGAAATAATATGGAGATATTGAAAATGGATGAGAAAGTTCTCTATATACTGATAAAATTCAATAGAACCATATAAAATTGACAAAACTTGACAATTTTGCTGGTCTATTTTGGCACAAGAAAAACCTGTCAGATATTAAGTGAAAAAAATATAGAAAACAGTATAAACATAGGCTGACTTTTGTGTAAAATAAGGGGAAATAAATTTCTGTGAGTGTGGGCACAGATGGTTATTTATGTACACAACTCTGCAAGGACAAATAAGAAGCTAGGTTGAATGGCATGATATTGGGTTGTGGAGATAGAGAAGAGACAGAAGCTTCTACAATATTTGGTCTTTAATCCATGTGGATGGATTCCTATTAAAATTAAATTTAAAAACTGAAAAGTGTCAGTGCAGTATAATTTTCAGGAAATGATGCTGGTATAAATTCTGCATTTTGTCCACTTTCCACTTGCTGTGTCACCCTCTGCTCTGCTCGTCATGAGCTACAATAATTTGAGATGAGGGAGAAGCTGCACAAACTCTTATTGCTCTGATGACTGTAACCTTTCATCATGACTGCGCTCTTGACTCAGTGAAGAGATGCCTAGCCGATCAGTGATCAGTACAGCACACTGCTGGGTGTGTCTGCGTGGGTTAGGGGACAGCACCTTGTCCCGGGCCCCTTTCTCTCGGCTCTCCTCCAGTGTTCTCCGATTCCCAGTGGCCGTGAAGGGAGCAGTTTTACTCCACGATGCCCTTCAGCTATGATGTCGCCACCTCGACAGCTTACCATGGACAGAAACCATGAGCCAAAATGAACTTTTTGTCCTCTACATTACAGATATTAGGTATTTTGTCCCATCAGCGGGAAAGCGGAAACACTGATACAGTGAAGAAAGAGACCCGAATGCGGAAGAAGTGATGGCTGCAGAAATGGAAAACAGGCCCCACAGAGCTTCAGAGATGACCTATGCTTTACCTCGGTAGTAGGCGAACTGTAGGTAGTCGTAATGCAGAGGAAGAAAGTTCTCAATCGGTGAGAGGCGGCCGGGGCGCGTGGCGAGCTCCCTCACGCACTCGTGCTGACAAACCAGCACCTGCATGTAGTGATCTGGAAGACAAGAGCTGAGCGTGAGTCCTCCGGGCTGTGAAAGCCGCGCTCGGTCACAGGGCCAGCTTCACAAGCGCTCCTCACTCGCCACACTCCAGGGAGGACTCACTATCATTTTCATTTCAAGACTGTCAAATCTCCTCACAAACACAACGATTCGCCATCAGCTTCTCCCAGTGGTCTCTGGGATAGCAGATCCCAAACCCTCTGGCTCATGGTCTTTTCTAAATGCTGCACACTTTTCTTCCCATAGCATTTTTGTTTTCTTTTTTACTCTGCCTGAAAGTGACAGAGACCATTTCATGGTACTCACACCCAGCAAAATGTGGACTTTCTGACTTAACAAGCTTGAAGCTTCGCTATGGATACTTTTGAGGGCCTGAAGTGTCTCGGATCAGGACTGAAAGTCTGATCCTAGTTATTCCACCACCTACGTGCAGAGTTTGGAGGGAGCAGTAAAGCAAAACTCTTTTTTCTTGTTAATAGTTCCACGCCCCATTTTTCTAAAGAGGTCATAAAAGCACTGTTTCTTGATATCCACTGTTCAGGACCCTGTTCTATCCAATTACAAATCATGCCATCACCTGGGTATGGTATATACTAATACATACTGGGGACACTGTATTTTTTACCAGGGAGTGGTAAAGTAGAGGAAAAGATGAAAACTGACGAATTTTGATAGGAGCCAGATGTGGTGGAGCGCACCTCTGGTCCCAGCTACTACACAGGCTAAAGATTGAAGATTATTTGAATGAAGTACAAGATATCCCTTGTTTAACAACCCACCTGTTTAATGACTATTCAGACTTAGGACATGCCACTCGGATTTACAACTATTTTTTTTATATAGTTCTGTACATCTTAATATAGAGTCTCAATGTCTTTTTTTTTTTTTTGGTAAAGTATACCTTGTTATCCAGCACTATAGTTTTTGCTGATCGTACTGTATAGTACAGAACTGTAGTTTTATGTGCTGATACACATTACAAAGTTATGCAAATAAAAGCAGTCATCAAGTTGCAGTATCCTTTGACCATTTCTTTGCTCTGAATATTGTAATGTACATACTCCATACAGTTCCTCATTTAGCGACTAATTCATTTAATAAGCTATTCTCAGGACTAGACCTCCACTGCTGAACGAGGTGTGCCTGCAGCTGCAGTCTAGCCCAAGCAACACAGCAGGAGACCCTGCTCAACAGCAACAGCAACAACAAAGAATCTGAATAAATATTTTTCCACTTCCTCCTTGCTCCCTTTTTTACTGTCCTCATTCTTCACAGTTGCAAACAGAGGGCATCTCCTGATGGGCAAGGGTTTTCATGCTCTGTGAACTCTTGGCTCATTCTCATCAGAGCCTGAGCTGGGGAAACACAAGGGACTAAGGGCACAGAGAAGAAAGTTCCTCACGTAGGCTGCGTAAGTTTAATTTTCACAATGCAGTTGGAGGTTGTCTTTTCAGGAAGAGAGAGATTCATTCACACTTAGCCATCCTCCTCCCTGGAAGAGGACACAATCATTTGATACCATGGCTGTACAGTTTATCATAGCTCTGCCTTCCTTCAAGAGGTGCTCTGTTTAGTCTAAGCTCAGCTTGACTCTGGGTGACCTTGAAGAGTGACATGAGAGCACAACAGGAAGGAAATAGGCAATTTCTGGTGCGGGGCAGTGTGCCAGCTCCATATAACCTGGCTAAGTCAATCCGACACAGCACAGCTAATAGAATCTCCTCACTCCACTAGTCATTAACTCCAGCTGGGGTTTGCAAGGGAAGGAGCTCTCTTTGCTTGGTGACATGTTAGATGTCAAGTATTAGCTGTTGTATATCTTATGGGAAAAACAACAAATACTCATCAACTGTTTTCTCCTACTTATCTCCACAGTCTCTTTTCCTTTCTTAAATGCATACATTTCTTATAATTCTAAAGAGCAAGCAAAAGGAAAAGGTGGAAAACACACCTAGCAAATCCAAACCTTGAATGGAAATCTTTTCAGGACAGAATATAAATAGCAGCAAAATGAGAGTGACAAGACAATATCCTTCAGGGCTTTAGTAAGCAGAGTCATGAATAAATAACTACATTCACCAGCTATTTGTATTTCCTCCAACTTTTAACGTCCCTTCTAACTCCAAATCCAAACATTATGTGCTTTTCTGAAATATTCTGTACTTTAAATGTCAGCTTTCTTCCTAGCTTAGGACAGTTTTGACCCAGAAAAAAATTTACATCTTGAGAGTTGTCATATTACTTTTTATTAGTTGTGTTCCTTGCCTGCTTTCTATCTCAAATGTGATTGTGCAATTAATATGCTTTTAGTAAGTTTGAGATCCAAGATACTTGTGTGGGAATACACTTTAAAATTTCCTTCGCATAATAATTTGGATATGCTTCAAATTCCCAAGAAACTTGCCATATTTATGGAATTTCTGATAATACTTGGTTTGATCAGTGGGACTAAACCTCTTTTTAAAAAATCACCTTTCTTTATGAAGAGTTATGATAATGGTGGTGGTAGTTACGTTAAAAAATGAAAGAACCTGAGTTAGAAGACCTCTATTCTTTTCCAAAATCAGTACGTTGTGTTTTTGTGACCATTGTTCATTAGAACATCAGTTTTATTTGATTACATGTTAGAAATCACGAACTGGACCAAATCACTAAATGCTAATCTACGAAAAGTTTTCAGTCTATCTCTTAGACCAGATCTAAGCTATCTGCCACAACGGAAGTAGATTAGAGCTGGGGCAAAACCGGTCCAACAACTGGAGGGAATCTGTCAAAGTCATGGAGACCCATGGCACATTACAGAATACAGAGCCCAGGACTCTCCAGCTCCTGAGCAGTGCATGCAGAACCAATCAAAAAGGTGCTGTTTTCAATTCCGCATTTCATCTGGTGCGGAACTGAGTAAGTCTTTTGCTAGGACAGGTTAAATCCAGTGCCAGGCCAAGTGAGTTTTTGCTAGGACATTCATTCCAATGCTTCATTTGTGTGAGGGAGAAGCCAGTCCAGGAATTCCAGATACAAAACACCACATTGGCTGATGCTCACGACTACTGTGAGTCTGTTCACTGGCTCTTAGTCTGAGAGTGAACTCCTTATCCACCTTCAATAAATGTACATCCCTAGTACCTTTTCTGTGGATCTTGTCCAAGTCTTTGCTCAGGACACCAAGAGCCTGGGAAGAACTGCCCTGGGACCCAACAACTTCTTCCTGGACATTCACAGAAACAGCGGCAGTGGCAAAGTGGGAATGAAGGCAGGGCCCATGTTCCCAGAAACTCTAACACAGTAAACCTTAAGAAAGGAAAAACTTTCCCATTTCCAAAGAAAAGATTCAGTGTAGAGAAATACGTAGCAAATGACATGTACAACACACATAAAATCGGTGTACTAATGAACAATGCTCACAGAAATACAAGCAAATGGATCTGGCAGAGGCCCAAGGAAACAATGTAGACAGGTCAAGTAATTATGATATGCCCAAAAAAGTGTTATATTACCTAGCCACCAAATATAATAAAGTGAATCTATCTGTACTTACATGAGAAGAAATCCGCAATTCATTGTTAAGCATAAAATAAAAGCAAACATAAAAAAGTTGAAAAACAATATTTATAACATTGCCCTATTTTTATAAAATGGAATAAAAGAATTATAGATAAATACATAGATATCTACAAATGGAGAACAATTACAAAATTATAACTATACAAATTTATCAACAAGAATTAGGATGGAAGAGATATGTCTTTTGAATTTTACAATAAATACTTCCATATTTCAAGAATGCATGTAGTACTTTTATAATAAGAAAAATAAGCTTTACCTGCAATGGTTTCATAGAGACCAGCTTTATACCCTAAGTAGTCATACTCTTCAAATCTCTGAGGGCCCTCACACAGGATTCGGCACTCCGTATCTTCACTGAAATAGTCTCTTAAAGCCTTTTCAAAGTACTTGATAGCCACTTCAAAGTCATCGGCCTCATAATGTTTCAGAGCTGCACTGTAGCTTTCCTACAAAGAAATGGAAAACAGAGAGTGCTGCTTTTGCAGAGAGAAGGATATTGTGGAAGGTGGGATATCAGACTCTGGTGAACCAGAGGAATGAAGAAGGGCTGTGCTGGGAGCTAAACTATCACCTCCCTGCAATCAAATAACTATAAATGAGAGAGGGTTACTGAGCAAGTAGCCTGCTATGGCACCGATCGAGCACATACATATAAGACTGTTTTCCAGTTGTTCTGTGGGTCAGTAGGCCACGGAAAAAGTACAGAGCAGCGGATGTGAATGGAAATGATATCCACTTCCAGGCTTGGCTTGACATAATAATCATAAAGAAAGCCTTCCATCTAAAATCTTATCCTTTTCTGCAGTTATGGAGACCACACATTGACAATGGTTGTGATGGAAATTGGAAATACAGAAAAAAGCTCTCCTGATATGTGATGTCTGGTAACACTTCACCCTAAAAATGAATTCTATAGCTTTATGAAGATTCAATTTGAAAAGTACAAGTACAAGGAACAAGGCTCTAGACCAAAAGTTAGGAAACCACAGTGATTCTGAAAAATTCAAGCTGGCTTCAACTCCGAGGTGTAAATACATGTGTTGTAAGCCAGATGCAAAGGTACACACCTGTAGGCCCTCATACTCAGAAGGCTGAGGCAGAAGGATTGCTTCTGGAGTTCAAGGCTCAGGAGTTCAAGGCCAGCCTAGCCAGACCTTCTCTTAAAAAAAATAACAGTGTGAAAAAGGAGCTGAGGCATGGAGAAGGTTGCAGATGTTTCTATAATAGTCCAGGTTTTACCATATACTGACTTTTCTAGGTTAATTTTCATTTCTTTCAAAGTTTAAACTTTTAGCTGAAATTTTCACATTTTTAATTTAAATTTTTTTTTTTTTGTACCGGGGATTGAACTCGGGCCCTTGCTCTTGCAAGGCAGGCAGCGAAACCACTGAGCTAAATCCCCGGCCTTAATTTAAAATATTAAACATTGTCTCATTCCTCCAACCTGATAATTACAAATTTCATGTGAGAAATATAAAGATACAAAAGTGTTACTGGGAATGGAGTCAACTTGAAAGACACGTTCACGTGGATATGTGTGAGTCAAAGGAAATGAAGGCACAGTCAGCCCCACGTCATAGAAGAAAGGGTCCCCAGAACTCACCAAGTGTGGTTTGGCCTCTCGATCTACCAACTGGAATGATTCCACACCAGCTATGGTTCTATAATTCTCTATGTTCTGTTGAATTTCCATGTGCTCGGGGTTGGCCATGAAAAACGTGTGCGCTGCTTGCACTGCCTCTTCCAACTGGTCAAGCTATAGAAGGATGAAAGGATGAAATGAAGGCAAATATTTGTAAACCAACTTCAGTCCAAAGGTCTCATGGCATGAAAGTAGTAAAGGGGGGGGATATATATATATATATATATATATGCAACTACCATACTTAAGTGCCAGGAAGTTAATAAGCAATGCGTCCTGAAATGATATGGAGATGTTTTGACATTGGCAAAAATAAATAGGCTTTGTTCCCAATTTTTTTCTCTTCCCCCTCTTTTCCAAACCATTTGTATTTTCTACATAATTGAGTCTACATGCCTATGTGCATTTTATGATTAATCAAAAAAACTGCCAGGGCTGTGTGCCTCTAGTTTACGTTTTCAACATTTTTCTTTTGCTTTTTTCCTTTCTTTCACTCCATTTCATTATTAACCCGAAAATCAGAGTACAAACACTCTTCTCATTTTTCAAAGGATGGGATGGGGTGAATTCTTCCTACCAGGCTTTCAAAGGTAAAGGATAAAAAGTTAAAAGGAGTAAATTATTCTAATATATAAGAGATGCTAAACTTCTAACTTTGATTCTCATTCTTTGATTCTGATAGAAAAGGAAGAATTTTAATAATCACTACAGAAGCATTGTCCTTATTTTCTTCTACTTCATACTCCTCTCCATGGAAAAAGCAATGATTAGCAAAATGAAATTGAATTCACTTGATTTAAGATGTTTTGACTTAGGCATTAGTCATGGAGAATATCTACAGAGAGATCTGTTTACTTCATATCAGAAAAAATAAATATTCACCTTAGTTGTCTTTTTCACTGTGAAATCTACCATATGTTTAATCTATTTCAAAGTGTCAAGAAATGAAAACTCATTCTTATGAAAAGTAACTATAAAATCATAGGACATCATATAGCATTTAACTGGGTTTCTTCTGACAATCTGGCTACTTCAAGATTAAAAATTAGAAAGAAATAGTGGGTTTGCAGTCCACAGTGACTGTGGTCAAGTAACACGTAAATAACCAGCTCTCACCACAGAAAACATACATTGATCTATTTTATGATCTATCTGGGATTCTTAATTTTGTCTAGTAAAAGTAGAACCTTCCTTCTTTCACTTAACACTCATATTCCTAACTACTGGACTTCCTTTTACTAAATCTTACCTGGGCTTAACTACTTTCATCACTTTTATCTTTGTCCTCAATTCTTTCCACCTAAAATCATTTTGGCAATCAAAAAGACTAATTTTGCACCTGAATTCTTTCTCAATTTTAATTTTCTCCATTCACTACTCATAAATATAGACACATATTAATTACCTAGGCATTTACATATGATATTAACAATTATACAGGTACTGAGGCCAAAAATATAGATTCTAAGTTTTGTGTAGGTTGACACTGATTGGCCAAGTGAACTTAGAAAAAGTTACTTAAATACTTGTGCTTCCCTTAAGAAAAATAAATGTTCAAAAAATGGCAGACTACCCTTTACTGAATAATTTTGTTGGAAGGATATAATTGTATAGTATTATAAATATGCTTCAGAAATCCCTAAAGCAATAAAAAAATGAACAATAACATGTAACTCACAAATGATATATTGGTTTCAAGGAATGACTATGCCCCCTTAATGAGGAGTACAATCTATATTTCCAAAGACCACATCATTTATAAGGATCATAGGGATTTATAGGGATTTATGATTGGTAAAAACTGTCTCCAGGTAATAACAAACTATAAAGAGTGAGTAGAACGGGTTTGCACTGACAAACACCGATTCTGTCACAGCAGACATTAAAGTTGATGGAACATGAATAAATATTTTGTTACTCTTTTTCCTACTTGTATGCCTTGGCTCAGTCTGTTCCACTGATTTAGAGAAGCTTTGTCCGTGTGTCTTCACATTAAGTACATACATTGGACATGGATGGAAAAGGTCAAGTGAACATGTGCATACTATTTTCCTACTGAAATGTAACATACCTTTTAAGGCCAAACTTGAATCTTGCCTTATTTAAAAGACACTTTTCTAAACCCGTAGCTATGGTTAAACACTGCAATGTCATCTTATTCTTATTCCTCCACTGGCACTTACTATAATCTGCTTTACACTAATTTTATTGGAGTATAGTTTCATGTACCAGTTAGGATTTTTGTAGCTAGGACCCATATGACATTTATATTTATTTTCCCTTTACTTTAAAGATATAGCAATGATGTCTATGCAAAAGAGAGAAAACGATATCTTTAACATAGAAATGAAAATGTATATTATGTGTAAAATCTGCCTCAGAACCTACACAGTAACAACAGGAAGTAAATTTAATAAAAATATATCTGAAGTTATATTTCATAATGAGAGTTTCCATATAGAAAAATGTGATTCAATGACTCTTGAAAAACAGTCAGCCAATGTCAATAAATTGATTCCTGTCCTTAATTTGACCAGATTGGCTTTTTTTACTTGGTGCTTTCTCTCTTTGTAACCCAGTGTGGAACATAATACCATTCTTCCCTTATACACAGAAAGATGATTGCATGACTGAACACTGAACCATAAAACTTCTTCATGATCTGAAACTGGATTTCAAATTTAGTTCATGAAACTGAAATTGTGAGCCAGAATCTATAAGATAGACCATTGTTTCAACTAAAAGCTTGATACAGTTGTACTCCATTTTAGAAATTAAGCTCACACACTGGACATGGCTGGAGAATACCAAGGGAACATGAATATACTACATATAGTGTCATATTATTGAGTGGATATTATTACAAAGCCTTGTAAGTAGCAGGTTTTAGCCAAGGAAGGAACTACCTGCTGCTTCACTGACATAAACCAAAAGCAAACTGCACGTGAAGGCTCCAAACCGAATTTCCTTTAAAACATAATTTTTAAAAACCACAGGAGAGGGGAAGTCTGCGTATTAGAAAAATAAAATTTGAAATAAAAAACAATTGAGGAAAGGAGGATTATTTGACAAGATGGTATCAAACTTTTAAGGGAAGCCACTGTCCCCTGTAAAGTGAGAAAGACCAGAAAGAAGAGACTTTCGGAGACTCTGGGTCATTTCAATTCAGTCTATGGGAAACTAAGGCAAACATTTCCCCCAGGCAGCACAGAAGAATGGCAGTACATGGCAGTCCTGCTGCCCGCAGAAAGAAATGAGCACTGACTAAATCAGCACCCTGGTGAAATGCAGAAGTCACTTTTGTCAGGAACTGGTGAGTATGAGGTTGCCTTGACACACACACCATTTTCCAGAGCCAGCAATAAAGGAGGAATTTCTAAAGCACACATTGGCTATAAAAATATCTTCAGTAGCTCTCCTTTGACCACAAAGGAGATTCCAGGCACTGCCATGGCATTTAATAACTCCAGGAGTTGGCTTCAGTCTTCCTAATGTCACTTCCTTCTATCTGCCATGAAGCAAACTTTTCTCAGATGAACTGAATAGCCGAAAGTTACATCACCCTAGTCAAGAAAACACACCTAAGTCCATTACTCCAGTCCTATCCACATTCCTCACTTCGTTCATTCACTTATTCAAGCAAATATTCATTTTGCACCAACTTTGCACCAGACACTGTGGCAGCCAATGAGAATATCTATGTAGCCAAGGCAGAAAAAAAGCCCTAAGGACCCGAGTTCGATCCCTGGTACCAAAAAAAAAAAAAAAAAAAAAAAAGCCCTGATTTCTATCTGCTTACATGCTCACCGAAGGAAAAAGGTAAACGATCAATGAAAGTCATTTCAGATGGTGCTGGGTGCTATAAGGTATGAATGAGCAAATTTCTGAGCACTGGCTGGAGTTGAGGTGGAAGAACTCTTTTAAATAAATTAGTAAAGAAAGATCTCTCTGCAATGTAATTTTTGAGCTGAGACACTGGAAGTTGAGCATCCAGGCATGGGCTTAAGTAAACTGAAAGATTTCTGAAATTGAAAACGTCTTGGTGTGGTTTACAAGTAGAACAGAGACTAAGGAGGGAGATTTGAGAAACCAGAGCACAGATCAGCTTTCCGCTATGGTAGAGTTTGAATGAATTTCTAAGTGCAAGAGGAAACTCTTAAAGAAATTTAGGGAGGGATGTGACAAGATCTTACAAACACTTTAAAATGATTAATTGAAACTGCTTTGTGGAAAATAGACTTTGAAGCAGGAAAACACTGCAAAAATTTAGGTCCAAGTTAGCACTTTTATCTTGAAAAATAAAAACAGGAGAGCATAGGTTTGGTCTTCTTGGTCCTCACCACTCCTTTCTTCTCTCCATTTGGCCCATTCTTGGTATGCTACTGCTTCTCAACTCAGAGGGCAAGACACAGCACAAAAAGGGAAACTGAAATTTCAAAACTATTGTAGGAAAAAAATAAATTCATCCTCTTCTAAACTAGGGAAGATATAAAGCTCAGCTATTTCGAATAGGAAATATATCCAATAAAGAAAAAAGCCCATTTCTAAAGCACATTAAAAACACAGAAAGAACACTCTGCATTTGCTTCAGAAATATTCGATAGCACATTTGTCTCAGGAAGACTGAACACCCATAAAATATCAAATTATAAACAAGTAATTTCAATTCTTCTACTCAAAAGACAACATTTTCAATAAAGACAGGAAGTCTTCCTCTACATTCACCATCTTTGGGAATTCATCCAGCTTCATGTACTGTATTTTAATGAGGTGCTATATTTTGTTGTGGTCTTTTACTTAAATTTAACTATTAGCAACTTTGGAGATTCTTAATCCCATATGGAGTTGTTTACTAAATGACAAGCATGTAAATAGATGATGAAGAAATCCAGTCTTTAAATCACAGGAGAATCTGAGTTCTCATTAGCACAGTTAGTACACTAGCTAAAGAATAACGAAGTCATTAGACTAAAGGTAAATTAGACTAAGCCTATACATAGTGACAAGATATTCTGCAGGGATTCCATCACTTGGCAAAGTCTCTAAATTTACTTCAAATTTTTGCTAAGCCAAGATAATTTCCATTTCCAAAGCCTAGTAAGTAAATATATGAT